GTGGGCTGTTGCGATGTGTGTGCGGGCGGCCCGACGGCGGCACGCGTGTTGGGAGACTCGTGAGGGGGTGGGTGACGCGGACAAGACGGCTAGTGTGGTTTGGGTGGACAAGAAGGGCAAAAAGAGAGGGGGGACGGGCGGCCGCTGCATAGTGATTGGCCGCTGCATAGTCGCCACATGGCCGCGGGCGCCGGCCGGACGAGGCTTAAACTGACTTGGCGCTTGCACGCGGTAAAAAGGCGGGATTTTGAATTGGGAGGGGCGCGTCTGTCGCGCTGGATTTGGGCGGGGCATACGCACCTCCTGGCCCCCGGACGAGATTTCCCTGTTGCTGGGGAGGTTGGCCACAGCGCCCGCCGCCGCGCCGCCTGTGCCTTCCTCCCCCTCCTCTTCCTCCTCGCAGCCGCGTTCCAGATCCCCTGAATTTGCGTGGCCGCTGGTCGCCACCTCCAGCTCCTACGTTTCGCGGAGACGCGTCAGGTCCACACGAGATCGCCACCGGATCCCACGCAAGCAATGGCGCCCCACCTTTAGGCCAGCGGAAAGCTCATCGACGTGCGACATGCTTGCCGGCTGGATGTCGTGTTGGGTTTTGGTGGGGTGGATGAGGGGGAAGCGGGTTGTGGGATGAGCGAGTATGTGGATGGTGTAGGGAGCGTGATGTGGGCGCGAAGGGATAGGTGTGACGAGGGTCATACCGCGCGGCGCCTTTGGGCCGCCGCGCGCCGCGTCCGCCCGTTGTCCGCCGCGATGACTAACCGACCGCTGCCCACCATCGGGCGCCCGAACCCCTCCCCCCACCCCAGCCAACACAGGCTGCACTCCTGCAAATTTGCTGGAACAAGAATCGTTGAGCGTTGACGCTGCTGCCGCTGGGTGGCGGCGGCGGAGGGCCCTGCCCCTTGGCCCCTGCAACTGGGTGCTCCAACTCGCCTCGTCACATTGTTTGGCCTTCGCCCCGCACTCCCGTCCAGGCCCCGCCGGGCCCCGCCGCGCCCCGCACAGAGGGGTGGTCCACAGCGCACACTGTGCGGCACACGCACGACGACGCTACTGTACATGTTTCGACGCTCTTTTAATCCGCTATCTGGCGGTTCCACAGGGACAGGGGTAAAATTTTTACAGCCTGCAGGATCAAGCCGCGCCCGCACCGCCCCAGTCACGCGCCGTCCGCACAGGTGCACCGGTGCCTCCGCCCACCCGCCAGCCGGGGGTACAAGCAGCAAGCTTGCACGTGTGCTGGAGCCAACAGCACCAGAAGCGGCGCATGCGGCGGGGTGCTGCAGCGGCTGCTCTCCATGCTTTTGAATTCACTAAGGGGACAAGAGGAGGGACAAGAAAGTCGGTGTGCAGAACTGTCCCGAAATTTGCAAGGCTCAGCGGCCAGCAGTCAAACCTTGTTGACCAAACGCTGGAACATTGCTGCATAGACATGAAGCAACAGGCAAAGTTGACCCCTGCTTCAGGATTGACGGCGTGCGCGTACAGGCCGTTGACCGACCGGGCGAACTAGTTTGACCAAGCGCGGCCGGTGCGGCGTCGACAAGGCGGGGAGCAACAGCAAAAACTGTGGGCGTGGAGGCCGTGCAGCCCTGGCGGCCTCCCCCATTGAGTGAAGGCCGGGCGCGTGCGTGACTGCGGCTGCAGAGGGGCCACAGACGAAGCGCGCTTAAGCAAGGCGGGGCGGACGTGCGCGCACAACCGCGAAGCCACCACTCAAAATGCCGGCAGGAAGAGCCCCATGCCAGTGTTTTTCTTATGGGGCCAGGCTAGTTTATTCACATCGTGCATGCGAATCGCATGGGGTGTATGCAGGTGTGCGGCTCCTGCCGGCCGCGACGGCGGGCCGAGGACGGACGAGCCCGCGCCGCGCGCAGGCGTGCGCAGCTCCCATCCCGTGGGTCGCGGGGCAGGCGTCGCAGGCTGGGGGAAGCGGGCGGCGGGCGCCACGCGGGCGCGCCCGAGGCGCCGGGCGGCCGGCGGCGAGGCCGGACGCCCTCGCTCACAGCGCGCCAGTACAGACAGCAAAACTGGATGCGAGCAGCGGGCGTTGAGGTTTTACAGCAATACTGGTATCCTGAAAGCGGGTGGGCAGGGCCAATCGTGCAGGGCCTTTTCAGATGAGAGGGCGGGAAGCGCCGCCCGGCCGCGCGCCCTCCCGCCACTTGCCCTCATGTACCCAGGCCGATAGCCCCATGCGGGCGGAGGCCCGGCGGGGCGGCCGGGCAAATGCAGTACGCACACGCCTGCCTGCAACGAAACGCCACACACGTGGCACGCGCCCTGCCGGCCCCGCCTCAGGCAATGACCAGCGCCCGCCCCACCCTCGACGACACGCCCCCCCACCACCCCCGCAGCGCTGCGAGCGCCCGCGCGCTGCCACCGCCGCGGCTGCCGCGGCTGCCGGCTGCAGATCTGCCGCCGGCGCCGGCCAGGGCCCTTAGGGCTGCACAGACCGCTGCTACGTCAAAGCCGCTGCTGCTGCTGCCGCCGCTCGCCGCGCTGCTGCGGCTGTTGCTGCTGCTGTTGCAGCTGCAGTAGCGGCTGCTCCGGAAGGACCGCCCGCCGCCGCCGCCGCCGGCGCCAGCGGGGGCCAGGGGGTCGGCTAGCCTGCTGCGGCCGCGGCGCGTGCCGAGGCGCCGCAGGGCCGCCTCCCCCGGCGTGCGCGCGGCGGCAGGCGCCCCGCTGCGCGCTAACAGCTGCGCTGCGGCCCGCCGCGCGCCGCCGCCGTCGCGCGCGGGGCCGGGGGAGAGCAGCAGCAGCGCGCCGCGCGCGGCGGCCGCGCGGATGCCCCTCAGCTGCTCCCGCAGCTGCTCGGCCGCCCGCTCCTCTCCCCTCACCGCCTCCTCATCCTCATCCCCCGCCTCAGCTCCCCCCTCCATTTCTGACGCCCCCTCAGGCTCTGATTCAGCCGCCGCCGCCGCCGCCCGCTCGCGCGCCGATGCCGCGCGCTCCGCCTGCCTACCCTCGATCGAGATCAGGGTGTCTGCCAGCTTCCGGTAGCTTCTCAGCACGTCCTCGTCGTAACGGAAGTCGTTCAGGCGCCGCCGGCATGCGCACCATTCGGGGTCCCTGTGGGCGGAACGGGAGCGAGGTGCCGCGTTTAAATCAGGGGCCCGCGCTTGGCGGAGCACACATGCACGCGAACGGCGCCCGCGCGTGGCAGGCAAGCGGCATGGCAAGCGAAACGCCGACATCGCAGCTGCCCAATGCGCACAGTACACATCTTCGCGGCGCGGCACGTTTTTTGGGTGCAGCGCGCCCCCCATGCACACGCAAATTGATGCGTGTGTGCTTTGGCGCAACTCCATCACCACAACCGGGCCATCATCGCCAGCTCTGCATCACCTGTGGAGCCGCAGCCTCTGCCCGAGGTCGACCACCGCAGCCGCGCCCATGCACTCAAGGGGCGGCGCAAACGGGCAGGGCCGTGCAAAGGGCCGCGTCATGTCGCGCAGGTGGCGGAGCTCAGCGGCCGCGCCGGCGGCCGCAATGGCGGCGAGGTGGTTGACCGGGATGCCGATCTGTGGGCGGTGGGGGTGGGGGCGTTTGGGTGTACTGATTGTTGGGGTGGGGGCGGCGTGAAGAGGAGGGGTCACACGGGGCAAGCGCGCGGTTTGCCGAATGCCGTCGCGGGGCATCATATCAGGGGCGCGGCTTGGGACTGCTGGGCTGCAAGGAGCTGGGCAGGGCACCCGTTTGGCTCACCAATGCAGCTGCGATTGAGACTGCGCAGCTGCAAACCGACACACAAATACCCAGGACAACACAATGGATGGCCACTTGCTATGTGTGCCACATGCATCTGCAGCTCGCACACACGTCAAGCACAAGTCGACGGCGGTGCTGCTGGGCTGCTGAGGTGGCGCCCTGCTTCGCACGCGGAGCGGCAGACTTCGAATACGCAGAGAGGTTCTACTCGCCATTTCGACGTAGATCTCTTCGTTGACGAGCTCAAGCGGTCCGAAAGCAGCAACTTCGACGCTAGTGTGCTGCATTGTAGCGGGGCCTTTTGTTCGATGTATCATGATCATGTGATTAAGGTGTATGTGACTCGGAAATGATTCGTTTGGCTGACAAGCTTTGGCAAGGTAGTTGGCAGCTGCCCCAGCACCTGCCATCTGGCAGGTTCTTGCCCAGTCGCGACCACTTGTCCAGCCGCGCGACTTTTGACGCCCAGCTGGCGCCTGCTCTGAGCCTCAGTGCTGCGTCGCACACTGGCTAGCAGTCACGCCTTGCACAAATCGAGCAACGCGTTGGCGTCATTACAGCAGCTGCCGCTGCAGTGCCGCCTGCTTCACCACCCCCCAAACGCCCCGCCGTCCAGCCAGCAACCTCAACCGTCGATCAAATTACCACTGAGCCAACAACCCGTCAAGCCAAAGGGGAGCGATCCCACCCCAACCAAGAGCGCCGGCGCAACAGCCCGACCCGGCGCACGGCCGGCCCGGTCGGGACCCTGCGCAGCTAAATGCATTTCGATTAAAACACCAACCAGAACTCAAGCCGACCGCGAGCCGCAGCTCTTGCGCGCAGGGCTGTATTATCAGCGTGCGGCGCAAGGGGGGAGGCCCGCTGGTCAGGGCGAGGCGCGGGGGCCGCTTGTTGCTCAGTGCAAGGCGCCCGCAGTCGGCAACAAGGGGGCCGCTGCCGGTCAGGGCGGGGCGCAGGGGCCGCCTGTTGCTCAAGACAGGGCCCCCCTAATTGACAACGTCAAGGACGACGCGGCGGGACTTGAGGGGCGCCCACTTCAACCTGGGAGAGTGGGGGGGGGGCGGAGGGGCAGGCACGTGTGTGCGTGAGAAAGGGACAGAGTGTTGTTGGTGTGTGTGTGTGTGTGTGTGTGTGTGTGTGTGTGTGTGTGTGTGTGTGTGTGTGTGTACGTGCGTGTGTGCGTGCGTGCGCAAAAGTGTGAGTGATGTGTAAGGGTCGCATTGCCTGGATTGTGACCGTAAAAGTGGCGAAACGCCATGACTGTACACACGCGTGTGACGGCCACCCAGGGTTGGGCTGATACGGCCCCATCACTGCCACGCAGCAGCATCCCGTCGGCGCCCGGGAGACGCACACAGCTCAAAGCAGCATCAGTACGACGGCATCAAAAACGTGATTTGTCGAAGACACACACCCTCACACTTGCTCAAGCGCACACGTGCGCACACACTCACACCTACACGCACACACACCCAAACCTACACACAGTTTTACACACACACACACACGCACACGCGCACGCGCGCGCGCGCGCATCGCCGTACCTCTTCTGGTAGACCGCGAACGCCCACATGATGCCGATGATGGTGAGGGCCTTCACGCCCACCAGCTTGCGCTCGTCATGCTCTGGGGACGCGGCCCACGCCAAGAACGTCGTCACGTCCTGCGGGTGGGCAGGAGGGCAGGTTGAGTGGGTTGGTGGGTGGGTGAGTGAGTGAGCGAACGAGTTGGCAGGTGGGTTGGCCGGGTGCCGATGGTTGGGCAGGCGGGTGAGTGGATTTGGACGCTTGAGAGGGAGGAAGAGGAAGTGTGCGTGCTTTGCAGCAGGGTCGTGGAGGGTGGGGTGGGTGGGTTGACGTTGGCACGCACAGCAGGGGTGCGCCCGCCGGCCGCGCTGCAAGCTGTGGCTCGGTTGACACGTGCCAGTCACACAGACACACTCACACACACACGCACACACAAACGCGTGCACACACGCGCGCACACACACACATACACAC